AAACACATACAGAAATAATAACGTCTTTCAAAAGTCTTATTTAAAAGGCACCAAAAAATAAGAAATACTACCAAAACTCATATGAATAATAAATTACTGATAATAAAGTTCATGTTTTCAAATATTTAACCAAAACTCCTAAACAAACTCTGTTTTTAATTTGTAATTATATAAGAGTAATATTAAAAAAAAGTTCCTAAGTCTTAGATCAGGAATTAATTATAAGGCTTTAGATTTGATGATTAGTTGCGTTGTCTTATGCCTCACACAAACAGCTAAACAACAGTTATTAACCGCAATGTATGTCATTATCACAGGAATTGTCGGAATTTCATATTAAATATACGCTCAAAATAAATGACTTTAATGTTAAGACTTATTAATATTGTATTAATATATATAAGAGTTTATATGAAGAGAGTCTGAGAACAGGAGAAGAAAAACGAGAAAATTTCATATAATTTATTGTATTATAAAAAACATTACATAAGAAACCCATAACCGGAACAAAAGTATAAGAAAAACAAAGTTAACTCAAAAACACAATTGAATTATAAATATATTTAATTACCTTTTATTTTGTTTTGAGGAAAAAATAATAGTCGACTAAAAAAGCCAATGCTTTTCGCTTTAGTGGACGAGACGTTCACTGTTTGTATATTTTCTTTAATTAATTATATAATTAGTTTATAATTAAGGATTTCATTATTAATAAGCATTAAATCCATGAATGGGTCGGTATTTCCCGACAATTCAATCCATCAAATGATGAGTAATTTTAGCGACAATTTGATGGGAAATCACATGTCGTTAAATGTAAGCAACGATTGCATCGGTTGTGAAATAAGCGGCAAATCATATGCAATGAGAGATGAGATTCAATTCAATACTCCCTTTAATTATGGATTTGAGATTACATTTCAATTCACGTGTGAATTAAAAACACATTTCAATTCATATGAATCATTCAATTCAACACATTTTTAGCCACAGATTGTCGCTAATGAGTGACACAAAAGTTTTTTCTTCTGATTTCTCCACTAATTTAAACGTCAAACACATGTAAACAGTACTTAAAGGTAGCGTTTAAAAGGCATTTGACCGCAAAAATCAGATGTTTGTTTCGCACAGCGATTAATATGTGGTTAATATTGATTAGCAATTGATCGCCCAATCGTTCAATAACTCAGTCAAAGGGATGAATGAATGGCTAAATAATTGACAACAAAAACTAAAGCCAAACATTATTTTGACGAGAAATACATCTAATGTCTGGACAGACAGACTGTGAGTCTCTGAAACACATTTGACGTATACTTGAATTTGTGTACACATTGAGAGTCAGTCCACACAACACAACACACTCTCTGTCAGTGTGTATGAGGTTTTGATGCAATGCTTACAACACAACAACACAGCCATCCCTTCAATGCATTCATTCACTCCATTCACGCATTCATTGAAGACATTACAGACACCTGCAGTCCATCCCAAACAACACAACTGCAAACCCATTGACTCATTGGTTGGGCAACACATCCAACACTTCCCACACATGCAGTAGTAATACAAATGCATTACAACTACAGCCATAATAATGCCATACATTTAAATGCATTCATGTTTACGTTGTGTTTATTGCGTGAATAATAATCACTTGAATAATACATTCATTTTCTCTCCAATAAACATAACAAACATTTATAACATAATGAATGTGTGAATGAATTGTAAGAGTTTTGCACTCATTTCGCCACAAGTTTATGAAATACTCGTTGAAAACACAATACATTTGATTGATGTAAGTATTGATTGGATTAATGTCTCGCATATTATTTATCGTCTCTTTTCTCAAAATTGGTTAAGAGTTTAGGTTTTCCTCAATTCTGTTATCATTGACACAAAAAGTGAAACTAATTTACAATTAATTTATTCAATATAAATGATGCCAATGACTGCCAATCAGTAATTTAAATGACAATTAATTATTAGTTGACTCGTGTTTTGTCATATATTTTAAAACAATTGATTTGTTGGCACAAAACGTGTCATTTTTACTCTCAATATCTTTACCCTATAATCATATATAATTAAAATTGAAATTTTATACAATTTAGTAAATTATATTTTATGTGACACTAAATCAATAGTCAATCATATTTTACATCACTATTACATGTAATTTAATGTTAAAACATTATGAGATGTTGTCTTGTATTTCACACCAATTGCTACCAATTGGTTGAAATTGAATGAAAGACAATCTCTTGGTATGACATTAATTGCACTCAAATATAATTGAATTTGTGTTTTGAATGACATTTCAGTTGAATCTAAGGCTCGCATAACACGAGAGGCGATGGACGACGTGTTGCCCACTGGCAGTCGTATTGAGGATCAGATTAATGACATCCCATTGGCTGATGAGGACGCGCCCGAAGAGCTAAGCGATGGCGTCGACTCGTGTCATACACACAGTGAAGAGAAATTGTCTGAATTGACAAACGCTTCACAACGCTATCAACTCGACGGCCAGAGTATTGAATCGATTCCATCGGTTTATACCAATGGCACCGATAGTCCCGGCGCTCATCATAATTGTATGCATTGTTTGATTAGACTTTTATCGCAATTATAATACATATTATTTATTGGTTTAGCAATGGATCCGGACTTAAGTCCCGACGAGATGGAGGAAAAGGAGAGACTCATCGCACAAGTGCTCGAATGCCAGAATACACTCGACGGTCAGTGCCATCACAAAGTCATCTCATTCTTCATTCTAACCATTATTTTAATTTTGTCTCAGATTTGTCTCAAAGAGTGGATTCAGTGAAAGAGGAGAACCTGAAACTCAAGTCCGAGAATCAAGTGTTGGCACAATATATCGAGAATCTAATGTCAGCCTCGAGTGTCTTTCAGTCCACTTCTCCTAAATCTAAACGAAAATCAATTAAAAAATAATTCTCCCAACAAATCAAAGCAAATCATAATTTAAAACTAATTATTACTCAAAGCTTTAACTCAATTGTAATATTAAATTTGTTATCAATTAATTTATCGATTAATTTGTTTCTTTAAAAAAGTAATTATATTTCCATTGATTTCATTCATTTACTAGTCATTCATTGCATTTTAATGAGTCTATTATTGTATTATTTTCTATACATTTTGTGTTTTATTATTCAATCACTAAATATTATAATAAAAGTATATATTTTAAAACTTTAAGCCAATTGTGAGTTCAGTATTCAATTCCTGAATAGCCTTTCCTTCCTCTGAAACGAGTCCTGAAGTCGATCTAAAAGTCATAACAATTGATAAAAATCACTTCATTTAGTGAATCAAATGAATAGCAAAACTCATACCAAACTTCGTTTGCATTCAAACAACAGATGAGTCAATTGAAAGCATTCTTCGGGAACCGACGGATCTCTTTCTCGAAGACATTCGCGCGGAGTCTTATAGTGAATCAAATGAATAGCAAAACTCATACCAAACTTCGTTTGCATTCAAACAACAGATGAGTCAATTGAAAGCATTCTTCGGGAACCGACGGATCTCTTTCTCGAAGACATTCGCGCGGAGTCTTCCGATTCTGTTATATATGAGACACAAAAGTATTGTATAATAAATATCTAATAATCACTAAAATGTGTGTAAAAAGACCGACAATTCTGACACAATCGGTGCTTAAGATGCAATGTTTGAGATCTTCTCGGATCACCGAACAGGACTTCCCGTCCGATTTGCCGTCTTCTTCGGTCTCGAATACTCTAACCATTTGTCTGCGGAGTTAATGGCAATCATTGAGAGATTATAAGCAATTGATATAATGATTGACACAAACCAATGAGGAATGCGATGAATGAGATGTGAAATGAAAACAAATGAAACCAATGTTTTAGTGAATGCTTTGAATGCCTGAATGACTGGCCGTCAGATGCCGTCTCATTGCATGCAATCTTACATTACATTGACTTTTGTCATAATTAACTCAATTCTTGTTAATTGAAGTTTTAATCATAAATATAAGAATAATAAAAAGAAGAAAGAAAGAGAGAGAGAGAGAGAGAGAGAGAGAGAGCCAACAGAAAA